GTGGTTAATAGAGACCGCTGAGCTTTTGGCAGTTTCACTGGTGTCGCTCTGTCTCTTTGGAAAGAGAAGCTGTCAACCGGAGTCCGACGAACGAAGGCGCCTTGGCAGGGAACGGGATCCAGGCGCTATTTAACTCGGGGCATTCGGCTTACCTGCGTTGAAGATTGCTTCTGTGAGGGAAGGAAGACATCGAGTGGAAGTATGTCGGATGATACAATGCGAAAAGACATCAAAACTAACCGGAAAATGGAAATATGGTGCCTCCCCGTCTTTCGGAAATTATCCTCCTGCCTCACCGTTATGTTGGCTTGAACTTGATGCGCCGTACCGACCAGGTGATTGCATCTGCCTAAATTGTTGAGTTCCAGTTCACACATCCGCACCAAACTATCGTGGCTGAAGCAGCACAATCCATCACACGGCATGGAGGCACCTTTACCCTACCCGTCATTATCGTCCATTTCTCACAACCTGCTCGTTGTGTACTCATCTCACTGAGGAACTTTCATGGACGCGTTTAATTGTAGCATCACACGAAGGTTTAGAAATCTGGCACTACATGCCCCTGCACTGAGGCCGGACCCTCGGCTTGTGTGAGACTGGGACTGTATACTACACCGGGCACGTCCGGCGCCGCCAGTCCGCCTGAAGGCCTTTCTCTATCTCTCCCCATTTTCAGGTCCCCCGCTAAGGACGCAGCCTCTCCTCGTTACGCCAGCCCCAGAAATCCCCCATTGGTCGAGACAACCACGGGCAGACCTCTCCTGTAAGCCCAGGAATGGTTGAGCCATAGCGGTTGTGTGGAAGCGCTGTGTCGGAGCCTGCTCCTCCAACAGCTCACGACTGGCACGTGCAAGGTCAGTGAGGACAGTGGCTTTCCGCTGTTTGAGAGAAGGAAGTTAACAATCCAGGACCCTGCTGGGAACCTGGACTGTTAAGAGACCCAATGCATTCATTAGAGAACCCAGACACCCTTATAAGACTGTTGTCCTCGTACAAACATACTCACATGTACTGATGCTACTACTACAAACTACTAACAAGGGGCGGGGCGCAGGTTTTCACTACATGATTTCTAGCCCTGACTTTCTCCACTCGCCCATCAGAGCGAATAGGCGTTGGGTGTGAAATGTTCAAGCATGTGAGCCCACTAGGGGCTCAAAAGAGCTCGCAGATGGCTAACTGTCTAGAAAAATATTAAAGCCAGGCTAAAAATATTCTGCTTGGGTCAAAAGACGACATGGGGGAGCCAGTGCAATGAGGACAGGCGCCAGTGAGAGCAGGGACACAGTCTCTCTCTCCAGACAGGAAAGCAGTGCAGCTCACACACGGGCAAGAGAGATGTTAAAACAGTAATGCAGAATACAGGTTTACTCTTGAAGCGATTATATTCTATGGCCAAATTGACAGGACAGACAGACAGAATATTCAGCGTTTAGCTCGGGAGTTAACGCTTAAATTATGGACATGGAATTGTTAAAATGTCATATTTCTTAAAGGAAGTTTGGCGCAGGGAGCTTTGAGTTGAATTCAAGCTGATCATTTGTATATTTTTCAACGTTTTGTTACTAATTTGATTAATGCTTTAATCAGTACTGATCAGTATAATTATCATCTTATTTATTATTTATTGTTATTAAATACTCCTGATGAAATGTAGCTTGAAGACCAGACAGACTGGTTGTGAGAGATCTTGTAGTGTGTGACCCCCTTGCTGATCAGTCCTGTGAAAACCACAGTGCCTTCAAGACTCAAAGTGTGGTGTTGTGTAGTGTGAATAGTACAGAGATCTGACCACTTTGAAA